TGCTGGCTTGGAGCCTGGGTTTGGGCTTCTTATCTGTCTAACAGGAGCCTACAATGCCAGAATTGGCGAGGCTGCCGTAGGCCCAGCCTCATGTGGGCAGATCTGACCTGGCCGGAGCTAAGTGGCTACCGGGGCATCTCCTCTGGGCCCTTCATGATGCAGGTGTGGACGAAAGGCTCAGAATCATTAGCACACAGAGTCCCCTAATCCTGCGGTTCTCAGCCTGGCTGCCGTCACAACCACCTGGGGACCCCCTAAGTGCTCTCCAATGCCACACTGCACCCTGTAGAGAAGGCTAAACATTTTTTAACGATTGAGCTCGGACACTAGGACAGAGTGTGACTTCACAGTCTTCTTCATTGGTCAATCGGGCCAAGAATTCCTGGGGCCTGGTAATACAGTATAATAAAAGGAGAATCTTCTACGTGGGGTTCAGGGGGCTCAGGCTCTGGTGCTGCCACGTATCACACCCCTGATTTTGGAAAACTAACTCTGGGCTTCCCTTTTCTCATCTATAAAATGGGGATTAAAATATCTCCCTTGCATAAGTTAGTCGAATGCAGTAGATAATATGTGGAAAACACCTTGTTTGTATTAATAGTAGATTAAATACTAGTAGATCCAATAATAATATGCAGTTTTTATTAACACAGTTATTATTAATGCAAGTGGTGCTTCCTTACCCAGATTTAGACCCTTTTGATTGGTTTTCCTCCCTGTTCTTCTTCTTCTTTTTTTTTTTTTTAAGACAGGGTCTTGCTCTGTTGCCCGGGCTAGAGTGCCGTGGCATCAGCCTAGCTCACAGCAACCTCAAACTCCTGGGCTCAAATGATTCTTCAGCCTCAGCCTCCCAAATAGCTGGGACTACAAGTGTTCACCAGCACACCTAGCTAATTTTTCTATTTTTTTTTTTTTGTAGAGATGGGGTCTCCTTCTTGCTCAGGCTGGTCTCAAACTCTTGGCTTCACCTCAGCCTCTCAGGCTCACCTCGGCCTCTCAAAAAAGCTACAATTAGGCCGGGCGCGGTGGCTCACGCCTGTAATCCTAGCACTCTGGGAGGCCGAGGCGGGCGGATTGCTCAAGGTCAGGAGTTCGAAACCACCCTGAGCAAGAGCGAGACCCTGTCTCTACTATAAATAGAAACAAATTAATTGGCCAACTAATATAGATAGAAAAAATAAGCCGAGCATGGTGGCGCATGCCTATAGTCCCAGCTACTTGGGAGGCTGAGGCAGGAGGATCTCTTGAGCCCAGGAGTCTGAGGTTGCTGTGAGCTAGGCTGATGCCACGGCACTCACTCTAGCCTGGGCAACAAAGCGAGACTCTGTCTCAAAAGAAAAAAAAAAAAAAAGCTACAATTATAGGCGTGAGCCACCACGCCCAGCCTCTCCTCTATTCTTGCAAGCCATTCCCCATTTAAGTTGGACAAGAGGATTAATAAAAGAAATCTAAACTGTGAAAGTTGCTACTTGCACAGTTTAGAGAGAAGCTTTTTTCTCTCTTTGCTATATATTTTTTTTACATTATTGTCCGATCAAATTAGTTAGCAAGTCTTTTCATAGGTTTGCAGGCAACTATGCTTTCACAATATAACTTGTGTGTGTAAATACAAGTACTTAATTTTTGCAATTCACATTTAAGTGATGGAAAAATAAGCATATGTGAAAGCTATGGAAATTGTGGCAGAACTTTTACTTGCTGCTCTGGTCCTAGTTGTACCATCTGTTACTCAATCACATACCTACCTAAGGCATTTTCACAGAAGTCCATTCAAAGGATATGAAGTTAATATAAATACTCCCTACTAAGTTTAGCTATGAAACCTTTAACTAAAATTGGTTTAACTCTGGAGTCTTCTAGTTTGGGTTTTTAATTCTGAGAATTGTGTTTCAACAGCTGAGAGGTATATTTCCTGATTTTGAAATGCTGTGTGCGATTGCACCGTTGTAGCTCTCTTACATGTATACACAGTCCCATGAAGTTTTCAGAGAATACCCTCCTATAACTCAAGGTGCTAGAATTAAGGATGGTCTGTGATCACACACAGAAGTTGCTACTCATCCAACCTTAGTAGTGCAAGTGACATTAATTAAAAGGTTATTCTATGCCTGGAATTGTGCTAAATATTTTACACACAATTTTTTCCATTTAATCCTCTCAGCAACCCTGTGAACTAGGTACTGTAGTAATCCTGACTTTACAGATGAAGAAACTAAAACCCAGAAAGTTGATTTATTCAAGATCAAGTGGAGGCCGGGCACGGTGGCTCATGCCTGTAATCCTAGCACTCTGGGAGGCCGAGGCGGGCGGGTCGCTCAAGGTCAGGAGTTCGAAACCACCCTGAGCAAAAGCGAGACCCTGTCTCTACTAATATAGAAAGAAATTAATTGGCCAACTAAAAATATATAGAAAAAATTAGCCGGGCATGGTGCCCGGCTGTAGTCCCAGCTACTCGGGAGGCTGAGGCAGGAGGATCGCTTGAGCCCAGAAGTTGGAGGTTGCTGCGAGCTAAGCTGACACCACAGCACTCACGCTAGCCTGGGCAACAAAGTGAGAATCCATCTCAAAAAAAAAAACAAGATCAAGTGGAAAACTAGGATATGAACCCAAATGCTAAAGCCTTTGCTCTTTTTTTAAAAGAATGGCTTTCATTGAGATACAATTCACATGTCATACAATTCAACCATTTAAAGTGCACAATGCAATGTTTTTTGCCAAACAGATTTGTGTAGCCATTACCACAAATTTAGAACATTTTCATAACTCCAAAAAGAAACTCTATCAACTGATGAATGGATAAATAAAATATGGCAAAGCCATACAATAAAATATTATTAGGCAATAAAAAGAAAGGAGGTACTGATACCTACTACAACATATCTATACATATATTTTTTTTTTTTTTGCTGCTTGTGCTTTTGAAGTATATGGAAGAAACCATTGCCTAATCCAAAGTCACAAAGATTGATGCCTAGTTTTCTTCTAAGAGTTTTATGGTTTTAGCTGTTACATTTAGGTCTTGAAGCTTTTTCTCTTACCCACTATGCTTTACTGTTTTGCGTGTCTGAATAAAGACACAAATACCTCCACAACCCATGGACGAGGGCGGAGCATGAAATGCCTACTTGGAATTTATCTTTGGATTTCAATGGTCTGTGTTCCTCCTGCTCCAGCTACTCTTGTAATTAAGAATCAAATCATTTGGTCAGGTCCTGAATATATTTAAAAATCTTGCTTTGCGGAAGCATCGTACATTCCCATTTCCATTACCTTAATTTAGGTCCTCGTCTCCGCATCAGTTAGGATTATTTCAATAATCTGCTAAATAGGCCAAGTTCCTCGCTCATAAAACTCATTACCCTGCACTGAAAGCAGTTGCATGTTAATATATCCAGCTATAAGCTTCACGAAGGTCAGGGGCTATGTCTTTGTTTTCCACCATCATGCCCTTGGTGCTTAGCATTGTGTCCGGCACAAGGTAGGTGCCCCACAAAAAACCTGTGGAAGGGAAGATGGCATGGTTTCTTTATCTCTAAACTCCTTACCTGAACCAAACCCATTTTCTCTGCGGCCAGATTGATACTCCAAGCACTGCTCTGATCATTTGACTCCCTTGCTCAAGAACCTTCAAGGACTCTCTATTGCCTTCCGAGAAGGCTCCTCCCTATCGTGGCATTCAAGCAAGGGCTGTCTCTAGTTCTCCCAGGCGTGCCCTCGCCTGACCTTTCAGAACACGAAAGGCACCTTTGGAGTTGGTCAGGCCGAGGGTGAAATCCTGTCACTGCCACTTATTAACCATTTGACTCAGAGTCACAGGTTGCTTAACCCCCATAAGCCAGGCCACGCGCAGTGGCTCACGCCTATAATCCTAGCATTCTGGAAGGCCGAGGTGGGAGGATCCCTTGAGGCCAGGAGTTCGAGACCAGGCTGAGCAAGAACGAGACCCCATCTCTACTAAAAATAGAAAAATTAGCTGGGCATGGCGGCGTACATGGCTGTAGTCCCAGCTACTCAGGAGGCTGAGGCAGGAGGATTGCTTGAGCCCAGGAGTTTGAGGTTGCAGTGAGCTATGATGATGCCACTGCATTCTAGCCAGGGTGACAGAATGGGACTCTGTCTCAAAAAAAAAAAACCCAAAACCTGTAAGCCTTAGTTTCCTCAGCTATAAAATGGGCATGCTGATACTCACTTTGCAGAGATAGGTGTGGAGATCACCAATAACACAGGTGAGCACCTGGAATAACGCAGGGACTCCATGCATGAGAGTGGTCATTTGCTCTTGTCATAGGGTTTATTGATTTAGTAAATAAAAATACAAGATGCCCGCTTACATCTGAATTTCAAACAAGAAATCACTTTTTAGTGTATCCTTCATATTCGAATTTAACTGGGCATCCTGTATTTTATCTGGCAGCCCCACAGTCGGTCTCAACCACACCCCAGTGTGCAAACACGGATCTGCTGTGTTTGCTTGGAATGGCAGACACCGCTTTGGAGGCCCTGCTCCGAGTTCACCTCTCTCTCAAGGTAGTTACGACTGCTTCTTCCTCATCCCTCCTACCATGTGTCCCTTAACACATGCCTCCTTCCTCTCTGAAGGTGTGTTCCCTGTGCCTTCCCCCTGCCTGAGCCTAGAAGCTTCCTGAGCACCAGACCAATCTGCTGTGCTACCTCGTGCTTTGCACTCGGGAGGTATCCCTTTGCTATGTGTCGGTTTAATAAACAACACTCGGTTGTCCCAAATCAGAGCTCCTTTCCACTTCCATCTTCGGAGTGCATTTTCCCTGCTGGAATCAGGGACGCATGGCACCACAGGCCAATTATACGGCTTTCGAGAGATTTAATCTGAAATCTTCCAATCTGAAGAACAGGGGGAAATGTTAATCTTTTCCTTCTCTGGACAAGGAAATGAGAATTTATTAAAAAGCAAAAAAAAAAAAAAAAAGATTCAGCGCTGCCAACCATTGGTTACGAAATACAATCATTGTGACGTCTCTGAATGAGCATGTCTGCGTGCGAACCGGCTTCGCTCTTCTTGCGCGTCCAGGCAGACGGATGCGTTTCTCTCCGCATCTGCTTGAGCAGGTTTGTGCCGAAAAGCAGAAAAAAATGAACTCTCCCAGGCACTATTTGCCAAGGGATTTGCTCCCCTTCTTTGTCTGTTTCCACTAATCCCGGCGTGGCAGTGAGCTGCCCGTTTTGTCTCTGGGTTGAAGCAAAAAAGGAGAAATCTTTTCCAAAATAGCCTGTGGGGTGGCTGGTCTCCCCGAGACGGGACTTGGGGGAGCACAAAGGGACCACGGGGGCATTTTGCGAAGGGTGTCTGGACGGGGTGCCCTGTCGTTTGGAAGGCGTCTGGCCCTGCCGTTTGCCCATCTTACAGTGATCCCCCATTGATGGCGTCCGCGCTCCTCCCTGCCCACGTGTGCCAGCCCTCCCCTCTGAAGTTAGGCCCCTCTCTCCCTGCTCGGGCTCAATGCCTTCTAATTGGACGCTCTGCCTGGCTAGTGGCTTCTGCCCAAGCGCAGGGCTGACATTTACTTACTTGATCCCCACCCCTCCCTCTGCTCCCTGGCCTCCTTTGTGAGCAGAGCTTAAATTAGGCAGGATTTCAGACCCAGCGCCTTTTTATATATTTCAGCGTGGGCCTCTTGTTTTTTTGAGTGGGGAGGGGCTGGCAGGGTGGAGAGGAGCCTTGGAAAAATTCACCGCCGAGCTGATCAATCCTGACCCCCGGCTTTGTGACTTATCCGTGTCCCAGAATCCCAGCTGACTCTGGGCTGCCTTCCTTTGTTTGCTTGCAACCTGGACCTCGGCCTGCTCATTTCAGCTGGGGCGGACTTTATTTTGAATATCAGACCAATGCCAAAAGGGTTGTTGCTTGTTTTCATTGCTGGAGAGAGGTGCAGGCCTCTTATCACCAGGATTTCACATTCAGAACTGCAATTTAAGGCTACGGCTGTCTTCGTGGCTATCTTAGCTGTCACGGTCTGAACTCATCCCCTTCTCCTCCCTGGTCTTAGGCACGAGCGTCTTTGCAGAGATGAGGGAAGTTGACCCCGAAAGGATGTCAGGTCGGAAACACCTTCATCGTCACCTCTGCGTTTGCCTCTTGCTCCATCTTGTAACCCCAAATAAAGCAAAGGCGAAGAGCCGGCGCCCAGTGATACTCGCTTAGAACGGATATTCGCAAATTGAGTTTAAAATTATTCTTGAGATATGGTTTATCAAATGTGTTGATTGATTGGTAAGCATCGCCCCGTAGAACAGAGACCGACAGCAAGCTTCCCTTTGGCTCGAGGCCATGTGGCCTGGGCCACCCCGTCCAGTGTCACCCAGGCAGCTGCTGTTCAGGCAAGCTGCCGTCAGCCTGTGGTCTCGCATCCATCTCCGGGGATCACTTTTACTTAAATATTAATTATATCCTGCCGTCCATCTCCTTCTGTCCCTTTACACACACACACACGCACACACGGCCTCTTTAGTTAGGCCGTAGCAGCCTCTTCCAGGCATTGCTAGTGTGGCACTCAGTCCGTCCTTGGGCTGTTCTGATGGACAGCCGTCTCCCAGGCCACGGCTTCATTAGGCGTGACGGCCTACAGCCGGTGGTCACCATGCCACCCTGCCCGGGAACCGACACGCAGCTCAGCCAGGCGCCAAAGGGACGGCCGTGGTGGAGAGGTGAGGGTGACGAGGTGGCTTCCCGAACAGACGCAGGGAGCACCCCGGGGTGCCGCCCACTTTCTTACACCAGGTTATCACATTAGGAGCTGAGTCTAAAAAAGGGCAACTCAGTTACCCAGGTGCTGCCTCTGCAGCCGAGAGATTGATTTTCAAGCCTCAGGAAACATCCAGAACATCTCTGTTTCGATAGGTGGCCTATGACCTACGGAGTCGATATGGCCTACACACAAACACCTTTTCCCGGTGCAACCCTCCTCTCTCCCTCCAGCCCTCACTTTCCCTCTCTTCTCTACCAGGGGCTGGGGCCGGGGCTGGGGAGTAAGCAGGGGATGGATATTACCCGTGTTCTAGACACTCGTGGCTGGTTTGCCTGGTAAACAACTATGGTAAACTCATTCTTTTAAAAATTGGAGTGTAACTTACACACAATGAAATCCACAGTTTGATGGCTTTTGGCAAATGTATACACGCTTGTCGCTACCATTCCATCGTTAAAATGGCATCATGAATACTCACATTTAACCCTTTGCACTCGCTCGCTTTTTTCTCGATTCCTTTATTCTACTTGGGATTTAATTTTTTAAATACCCCAGATTTTACAAAGCGAGGCAGTAGAATAAAAAAAAAAAAGCTGGAGTTTCTTTTCATGCAAACTTATTTATTTAGATTTTTTTTATATTTCAAATTATTGATACATTCAAAGAGTAATTTCAATCTCTATAATTTTTGCTAACCGTGTGGAGTCACACTCGACGTCCGAGTGCAAAGGGTTAATCCCCGTGAAAGATCGGTGTTACTGAGGAAAAGGAAGGTCAGAAAGATGAGCACAAATAGCAATTATAATGGCGAAGACTCTGAGCTGGGCACGGTTCTGAGTACTTAGCACACATCACCTCCTTTAATCCCCTCTCCGACCCCAGTGGTCCCATTTTGCAGATAGAGAAACTTCCCCAAGGTCACACGGCCGAATACTTGGGAGTGGCATTTCTGGTGTTCAGTTCCCAATCTTCCCCCAACAGTAGCTTCTTCTCAGAGAATAAAAAAACCAACACCCCACACCCCCAACCCCGGCGCTTTCTTTAAACCATGAGCCTTCTGCTCTGACATCATTAATCGAAAAGATCGCGCTGGAAGAGCCGTTTTGTTTTGTTATCCCTTGAATTACTGGCCCTTTCATCGAAGAAACTTTTTTGAGCCATCTCCCCAAGCAGAAGTGATCAAATCGCCCAGAAAGGTTCAGCCTGGCCTAGTGAACACGTGGCTTCGTCATCCAGCTCTGCCAGCGGTGCTGAGCATTTCCTTGGGGATCGTGCACCCTCTCTGAGCCGCTGATGCCCACCCCTCCCCCACCCTCCCCCCTGTGCATGGAAAGGCAAAGATAAGGGCTGGCTATTTGGGTCCCTAATACAAAAAAACGTCAACCCACTTCCCTGCCTTCTACTCGCGGCCCCACCTCAAAGGGGAGAAAATCTGCAGGTGTTGGGTCAGGGCTAAGGGGGACGTTTGTCCTTTGCATGACTGGCAGCCTGGCAAAGCACGGCCCCTTTCTCTCTCCCTCCATTCTCTCCCATCTGGCAGAGGAGTCCGGCTCCCTAAATCTTCTTTTTGTTGGTTAGTTTCCATGGCAGTTATTGTCTGTGTGTGTGAGCATGTCCGCCCCTCACCCTCTCTCCGCGCAGAGCGGGCCCTTGCAGCTGAGACTCCGTGGAGGGAGAGGCTCTGGCAGGCTCGGGGCTCCCGCTGGCGGGCAGAGGCCCTCTTGGTGGGGGCGTCTCGCCTCCTGGGGCTCAGGGACCCCCAGGCTTGTGCACATCCGGGCGGGGCTGGCCGCCCCGTGCCCTCTGCACAGAGCCTGGCTGCCTCCCAGTTCATCAGCCAGAGGCAGCAGCATTGACGGACTCGTCAATCGAGGAGGAAGCCCTAGGGACCCAGGGGACCCTGCCAACTCTGCCCCCAGCCTGCTCCTAGGACAGCCTCAGAGCCAACACCTGCCCGGCCCTCTTCAATCCCCTCCCCTTTTTGTCTTTTGCAGATGATGATCGGATGCCCTCCTCCTCCCCTTGGTCAGGTAAGTTGCATTTCGATGCATCTATGCAGGGTGACATCTCAGCATTTCGAGTGGCTGCTGGTGGGAAGGGGGCAAGGAGGGCCGTTAGTGACAGGAGGGCTGCCCAGCCCAGACAGGCTGGCACGGGGGTCAGGGAGGGGCAAGGGGCTCTAAGGGCTTTTCCTCCTCAGCTGGGCCTCTCTGGATTGACGTTAAAGGTTCTTTCCCATCTGGTTTTAACCCAGCTGATTAACTTCAAAGATCACTGTCCAGGCACAGCCTGGCCAGCATACAGCCAACATCCAGGACTTGTGGCATCCGGTCCAAATTCAGCTCAACTGATGCAATATGTATCATGTGCTAGTTGTTGTGCTTGGCTCTAAAGGGGGTGTGCTTTGACAAGAATGGCATATACCATGGTTCCTGCCTTCACAGTGCTTACCATCCGGTCAGAAAGAGAGCGTATCTATTAATACACAGATGGGCATGTGGACTCCGGGGCCAGGCAAGCTAAATTCCACACCCTATTCTGGCTGTTTGACCTTGGTCAAGTCACTTAACTTCTCCAAGTCTCAGTTTCCTCATCTGTGGAATGCCAATAATAATAGTGCCTACCTTATAAGTTAAATTATACACACACAAAACTTAGATCAGTTCATGACACACAATGAGCACCATATACTTGTTAACTATCATCGTGGCTGTTAAGTTCTCATGAGGTTCAAATTACACAAAACATGTAAAGAATTTGGCCTGGTATTGAGGATATCGGTGGTGGTCGTTGTCAGGCAGGGCAGTCGTAAGTGCTGACAGGTCTAGACAAAGTTCTATGGAAACACAGGGAAAATGGCTCTTGCCTGCAGGGAGCATGCAAAGCCTAGAGGAGGTGGCATCCAGGCTGGGCACTGAAGGATGACCAGGATTGCAACAGGCAGGGGTAAGCATATGAAGCAGAAAGCACAAAGCCAAGGTTAGAGGCAGGAAATGAAAGGGCTGTTGGGCATCAGCTAGCAGAGTGGTTTGGCGGGAGCCCAGGCAGTAAGCCTGGCTGAGAGGTTGGGCTGGACTTTGGGCTCCCAGCATCTTAGGGGCAAGGGCCTAGTTTGGGGTGTGACACTGTGAAGACTGGAAGAACCACCCCAGCACTAACATAAGGCGTAGAAGGCCGGGCGCGGTGGCTCACGCCTGTAATCCTAGCTCTTGGGAGGCCGAGGCGGGCGGATTGCTCAAGGTCAGGAGTTCAAAACCAGCCTGAGCAAGAGCAAGACCCCGTCTCTACTATAAATAGAAAGAAATTAATTGGCCAACTGATATATATATAAAAAATTAGCTGGGCATGGTGGCGCATGCCTGTAGTCCCAGCTACTCGGGAGGCTGAGGCAGGAGGATTGCTTGGGCCAGGAGTTTGAGGTTGCTGTGAGCTAGGCTGATGCCACGGCACTCACTCTAGCCTGGGCAACAAAGTGAGACTCTGTCTCAAAAAAAAAAAGATAAGGGGTAGAGTGAACTCGAAAGAGTGCCCGGCTGGGAGCCTGAGACCAGGGTTCGAGTCCTGGCTGAGCTTCAAATGGAAGCAGGCGCTCTGAGGTTAATGTCTTCAACTCTCTGGGTTTGTTTTCCCACCGATGAAGCAGGAATAATAAAACTTGACTTTACCTCACAATTTTACTATAATTATTAAATATTGCATACGAATGTGAAATTACGAAGCAATATGTAAAATGCAAAGTACTGTTCTTCAACACAGAGGAGAATTGTCCTCTGCATGGCCCAGGGGGAGATGCAAGGAGGCCAATGCACTTCATCTAGCGCAATGCCTGACTCATCACGGTAGTGGAATGAATGAACTCTCCCATAATGCTTAGATGACTCATTCATTCATTCATTCATTCATTCATTCATTCATTCATTCATTCATTCACCAGACATTCTTGAGTCCCCACTGAATGCCAGGCAGTGGATGTGGTGATGGGAAAGAGGGGTGGATAGACAGGCATGCACCCTGCCTCGAGACTCTTATAAGCAACTCAGGAAACTGGCAACCAGAGCACTTCCGGGTTCTCCCCACCTCCCCCCACCCCCAGAAGCTGCCCTCTCACCGGCCATCTTCCAGCTGCTCTCGAGGGTTAATTGCTGTTGGGCATTTAATTTGAGTTGATTTTAGGCTCCCAAGACATTGCCCTGGTAGGTCTTAAGAACGGCTCCTCTGCGCCCTCTGCTGGTGAGGGGCTGTAAGCGCTTTGCTGTAAACAGCTCAATATTCATCGCACATCAACACCAAGCTTTCCTGCCGCCTTCCGTCACCCCCTCCACCCCCACCCCCACCTCCCGGGGATGAACCGATGTGCCTTAATATTTCAAGAGGAATGAATGTGTAATTAGCACCTTAACGTTATATCAGAGTCGTTCCGGAGGTTTTCTATCTAAATGCAAATTGAATCTTCCTGAAAGAA